AGCTATCAGACGAATTTTGTGCTTTAATTACAAAAGTATACTTTAATAATAATATCGTGTTAAATAAATAAATAAATAAATACTTTTTATTTTTGTCGATTTTTGGCTAGCATCATAACTATCCATGCTCTATAAACTTGTTTTTTAAAAAAACAATAATAATAAAAATTTTTTTTTTGTTTATTTTTTTAGATTTGACAATTTTAAAAAATTTTAAAATCGAATTGTTTATTGTTACCGATCACTTGCTAACTCGAAAGAATATAAAATATATCTGATTTATTAAACAGAAATGTGTTTGTACTTTTTTCCAAAATTTTTGCGCATCTTTTAAAATTTGTAATTTGGCGAAAACCTACTTTGTACAAAGATGGGTTTTAAAAATTTTAAAATCAACAATTAATTATTGTTACCAATCACTTGATACCCAGAAAAAGTATGGCTTGCTTGTTGTCTAGATGACAATTTTTTCATTATAAATATAACTATAATTCGCAAAGACATCAGAATAAAATTTTCTTAATTAATTTGATAATAACTATCATAATAACTTTATCATAATCATATCACATATATTTACTACCTTTTTTAAAAATGAATAATACTGTTTATGAAATTGTTTCTTCTAATCGTGGTCAAGACAATATTAATATTCATGGTTTTATTATGTGCAAAAATAAAAATCGTGACAATTTTTATTACTGGCGTTGTGAAAAACGTGATGCATTACAATGTAAAGGCTGAGCAGTTACCACGTTGGTTGAGGGACAATATCATCTCCAAAAAGTCACAGATCATAATCATGCTGCGGAGGCAAGCTATAAGAATCGTTAATACTTTAAAAGAGAGAGGAAAAGAGACTAATAAACCACCTGCACAAATTATTCAAACCACAACTGCTAGTATCTCTCACGAAACGCATCTATACCTTCCATCTCGTGATGCACTTCGTCAAACAATTAATCGAATTAGGAGCTCTGATCTTCCTGTAGAACCAGAATCTTTAAATGAACTTATTGTTCCTGAAGATTTGACAAAGACTCTAAGTGGATCAGACTTTTTGGTTAAGATATTGTCCTGGATCAAGATAGAATATTGCTCTTTACAACCATTGCTAATGTCCAATATCTGGAACAATCCCCTTTCTGGAACATTTAAAACAGTTCCAAATATATTTAGACAGTTATATTCAATTCATGGACGTGTTGGTAGAGATGAAAATT